AGCACTGAATCGATTATGAGTGTTATTAGTTGAGACTTCACACAAATAATGTGGTACCTCCATAAAGCTTCAAATGCTCTTTTTAATTAAGTTTACGGTCAATGAATCTCAGCTAACCACCTAGGCGAATGTACCTGAACACCCCGAGGCATTCAACCTGTTATTGGGAACACAACTTTATGAGATGTATTATTGTTGACTAGTTGACAGTAAACTCATTATTGATCGCGTCCGAGCTAGAGTGTGAAAACTTAAAAAAACGTTTTTCCCACAAATGTTTTAGCTGTAATTAAAGTCTCTACCCTAGTGTTATTCTAATAACATTAGAATGCAAATGACTTGTAATACTCTGCTTCAGAGGAGTGTCACATCAGTACCAACTAGGAAGAAAATGATAAAAAGGGTCGTCAATAAGCTCACAAGCAGAAAAGAGGGCTTTTTGTGACTATTTAATGGAAATGCTCTCTACATTAACCATACAATCACAACTAAGAAATCACTCTCCGTATTTAAAATACAAAAATTTAATTAAGCCAGTTTGGTATTCCTTTAGGGACTATTGAGTATGAGATAAGGTACTGGATACATGACGCAAGTGACAATTGCAAAAGCAACGAAATAGTGAAGTTAGTATCGAATAAGAACTGATCAACTAGTTGCAACAAATAGATCCACACCCGACCGATATGACGATATGAGTACCCAGATAAGTCGAATAATAAGTGATAGCACTGTGTAAAGCAAACAAATTCGTCTTTTGTCGTTGAGTAGAACTATATATAATGACAGTAGCAATTAATGACTTACGCCAGACGAGGAAACGTTTCGAATTTTATATCCCACCTATGTAGGACCACACTTAGATTACTGTATCCAAGCAGCTAGCCCGTGTTTGGTAAAGGATACTAACTCCCTTGAGCGTGTCCAGTGTGTAGGAACGAAATTAGTGAAGGGTCTTTCTAGACTCCCTTACGGTGAGCGTTTAAAACGCCTAAATCTTTTCCCCTTGTCGTATCGTAGGACACGAGGTGACTTTATACTGGCATTTCGTATCTTTAATTATGATTTGGGTGTTAATACGTCTTATCTTTTTGCTCCCTCTAGCACTAATAATCTCTGTGGTCATAGCAAGAAGGTTCATAAACCACGACCTAATAAACTTAAAATGGGGTCCCGTTTTTTTCATCGAGTAGTCAATGATTGGAACGCCTTACCCGAACAAGTGGTATCAGCCTCATCAGTGAATACTTTCAAAGAGAAGCTGGACCTTCACTGGAAAGCAATGTGTCAGGATTAATACAGGTCCAACAACCTACTATCCTTATTACTGAAGACTGAAGATTTTAGGTACAAAATTGACTTACTACGGCTTATCTAGGCGACTTGAGAATTTGGAAAATAATGAGGTAAACGTGTGTTGGCATAATATAAACTCGCAAAAATGGACACTAACTAAGCCAATAGAGTAGCTTACAACATTTTATTTACTACGGTTGAACGCAGAGTAGCGTGAACTAAATAGTGCTCTGGCCCTCACACAAATTCAATGGTTTATGTGGCTAATATATATTTGGTGCCTCCTTGTACTAATGTTTATGTGTTTAACTAAATTAGTAAATAAGAGTAGTGTTAGGGGCTGGGAAAGAAATAAACTAAAAAGATAAGTCGACGACCTAGCAAGAGCACAAGGTGAACTTACACTTAACAAGTAAAGCAATCGACAATAATCTGTAATAACGAAAGCCTCAGACTTGAAACCCAGACTAAACTAGACAATGCAACCCGCTACAACGCGAGTGTCGGAAATTACCGCCCATTTAGCGATTTCAAGGACTTTTTGTGTCCCATATGCAAAATTCCATATCTTTACAACCAGTCAGCATAGGTGCTTGCTTATCCGTGCCAACAGTTCTAAGCACTAATGACAGAAAACGAAGAGGTTTGTACAGGTCCTTAAAAACGTGATGAATTTTTTAAGAAATCTTCACTAAAATAACATCTTACGGTACTATAGATACCAAATGTCCTGATGAGTAATTATGAAAGCAAACCATCTCGCTTTTATTTCAGTTTTACTGGTTTTTAAAATTGATGGTGATTCTTCTGATTTTACTGAACACTAATCTAGACAAAGGAGAATCTTAGAGGTGACCTGTTGATATACAGTACCCTTAACAATTCTAGACATCCCCTTAAACACCTACTTAGGCTTGGTCCCAATACAAACCTAAAGGGTGACACTCAGAAATCGGAGATACAACATAGCAAAGCGAACCGTAGACACAACCTCTACTTCTTACGAATTGTCAAATACTGGAATTCGCTGCCGACTGAGCTAGTCCAAGCGACTTCTTAAGAGTCCTTTAAGAGGAAACTTGACCTATGATTGAGGACTAAGAATAACATCTGATTATGAGTTACCGAGTTATTTTTTAATAGTCTATTATAGTTAATATATCTAGGTTCCTGCCTGGAGGTATTAATGATCCCCTGCTGCTATACACGGAAGCCTGTTAAGCGAAAGCTGATTCCATTCCGTCCACAACCATTTGAACTTGGTCAAGAATCCGCATCAGATTACACTCGAGTACGTCGTACTACCCACCTTTTACTATAACCAGATAGATAAGACTTTAAACACTTTAGCTCATCGACCACTATTCGAATGTATCTTCGCAAAACTTCGTTTTCGATTTCCGGTTTGATTGACTCCGTGATCTTTGTATGTATAGTTCTCAACAGTAGTGTCCACAAATCCTGAGTATCTGGGATATTCTTAGTAGAATAAGCAAAATGTCTGCGGAAGTTATGTGAATGTTCTACCCAACAAAATTTTGGTAAGATACAGTTTGTTCCTGATGAAATAAGAAAATTCACTCAATCAAACCTGAAATATTATTCACAAACATCTTAGTGGTACGTAAGTTTTGTGAAGAAATCACTTCGAATATCACCAAAAACGCGTTTATGCACAAGTTTCAACAATATTTGCATAATACTTGCCATATTTAAACAGGGAAAAGATGACGGAAGGAAATATGGAATGTGTAAATAATTCGGTATGTTCGTTAGTGAGAACAGGATAAGAATAAAAGGTAAAAAATTTTAAACCGAATGAATCAAAAAATAAATAAGATAATAAATTGGTAATGCAGTAAGACTTGATGGTAGAGTAAGAGTTTGTCCAGTAATACTTTAGAAAGATCCTACAAAAAATAATCATCAAATATTAATCCGTATGAGTCAAAATCGTATGATGAAGATAAAATCCATTGGAAAATTTAATTCATTTAAGTGTAACACAAAATAATGTGTTTTCATTTATGAAATTTGGATGCTTAGTAGTGAAATTTATGCAGCAGTAAATCAGAGGGGAAGAAAAGGGAACAAAAAGAATAACTAGTGTTTTAAGAGATCCACCATGACAATAATAAATATGAACATAGTTTCAGTACAACGGAGGTTTACTGGGAATCTGTTTCACATGAATGAATAGAGAATAACGAAGAAATTTTAAAGTTTGTGTGGCCTGCCGAAATCGATTGAATACTTTCTTTACTGCGCAGGTTGTATGATGTTATAATAGATTACGAAGGGATGGGTGTCGTAAATTAAGAAATACATAAATATGCCACAAGCATTTGGAGTTTGGCAACACCTTAACAAATAACACCTCTTTTAATCGAGACGTGACAACCCAAAAAAAATCAGAAGTCACATAAGAAGAGGCTCGAAAATATATTTGGTAGGACATCGAAATAAGAGGAAGTGACTGATCTAAGTCGGCTAGTGGTTGTACGAGAAGTTGAGCGCAGAGAACCTCAAAACGGCTCTAATGTATTTTATTTGAACAATAATTTCATCAAGTCATTAGGTCTACAATTACTGTACACTAGAACATTACATTTAATAATGGACATGATACATATTTATGTATTAATGATATCGATTCGAAATTATTGAAATTTATCATTACGAATCCAATGAGCTTTTTTGCTTTGGATACTTGTAATGCAATGTGCTCGGTAAAGTTCAAACCATTGATAAACTTCAAACCCAAGTCATAAACAGTAATGAGGGGTTTCGGTATATTTTTGTGAATAACCAGATTTAGGTCAGGTATGCTGCCAATGTTAAAAATTCACTCTTTTGAGCACTCATTGATGGATTCCACAGTTCATTCGTATAACTTGCTTCTGTCTTCTTAGATTACAGCAGGAAAGAGACGAGAACGAATGAATCACTCTAAGATCATCAGCATAAAGTTGAGATTTCCTGTGTTGAAAGAGTGAGTACACGTCAATGATGAAAAGGAAAAACAGTGATGGACCAACCACACTTCCTACTGTAGCTCTACTGGTCATACTCATAGATCTGTAGTGGCATTGAACCATAACCACACAATCCTCAAAGCTGAACACGAGATCACCCAAAAAATAGATATTCAATATTTAAGGCGGAGAAATACCTAAGGATGGAGAAGTCTGACAATTCAGGAAGATTTAACTCATTTTCAAAGTTGGGCGGACATCAACGGAATTACTTTCAACGCTTCGAAGTGTGAAGTTGTCCCTTTAAAACGTGTTGCAGACTACGCACACAAATTGTGAAACTCCGCTCTAAAGATGCCTCATCTAGAGTATGAAAATATAAGATTTCCTTTTCACTCTAAAGTGTTAAACATACACTGGATCGTATCCAACGGCAAGCCATGGAACCAGTTTGATGACTCCAATTCAAGCCTTTTGAAGAGCGTCTCAAATAGCTGAATCTTAAACCATTATGGTTCTGGAGTTCCATAGGCAACCTTTTAGTGACTCATAGCGTCCTAAACACTACTGAAACGTGATAAATTCCTGAAGAATCAGGACAGCATTACACGATAATTTACCATTTCTCTTTTCATCGTTGAATATACCTAAGCTCCTACCTGTAAGCATCATTGATCTACTGCTGTTAAATGTAGAATTCTGTTGAGCGAGAGTTTCTATTCCTCCCATGACCATTCGAACCACTTGATATGTAGGTCACTTGGGTCAAAGTATGGCGCGTGTATTAAGATGTATCACTGTCAGACAAATCCACCAGACGGCTGATCTTCAAGTTGGGGGGTTATTTAGGGCTAGGTTTGTACAAAATTGGATAAAATTTTAACTGAAAGACGTCGGTTGCCTCCCAGTAACAACGAGTGGGGACCTTTAACCGATTTGCCTGACTACATTGTCATAGGTTTGTGGCTGAATTGACTAACGTAATATTCAGGAAAGGCCAACCCTCAATTTACAAGCCAAGGGCAAAGGCGACGAGCTATTCAGCAATACAAAGTATCTGTAAGCCATTGATCTTGTGTTGACTCGGCATCTTACCATGTAGAACAAAATAATCCAATTAGTTGGAGAAATGAAAGAAACTCAAGAAAAGCATGCTAGGAATATGGAAATGAAGGAGAACAATGCCAAAATATTAAAGCAGCAGTGTCTTCGAGAGAAAGGAAATCGAAGTGCATAAATATTTGACTAGCATTGGTTTGCTAAACTTCTACTTGATACCTAGGCACTTTATAAATAAAACTTAAATTATTCTTCGTTTAGTATTATTTTCTAACGGAAAGCTTTGCTTAAATCCTTGTACTTGAGTGCTCCAGTTTGCGGTTGTCTATGGTCGATATAGATTTATGTTCACCAGAATCTGTGCAACAAAATTGCGTTGATTTACTTCAATTATGTAATACCTTACGTGCGTATCTGGAAAAAACCAGTTTAAATACTGAAGTTCTGTGGAAATTTTATTTAATTACGTTACTAGATCTCTGCATCGTTTTTCTCGGTTATCTTCAGTAATAGTAGTAATGGATATATTGACCTGTGTTAATATTGCTTCAATAATATTCCTCTGACCTTTAGTTAACTCATTCAGTTTTCACCGACACTACTGGGACCACACAGTCGTGTCTCTCACTTCAATGATATTTTCGAGAATTCTCTATGCTCTCCATTAGCCGAAAATTCGATCTCACCATATCAAATAGTGAAAATTTCTTGAATTCCTCTTTGATACATTAGGTGAGTATATTTTTACTTTACCATCAGCTTCTGCATGAGTGTGCCTCAAGTTCACACGCATAAAAGTAGCACTGCTAACTGCTTGCGTTGTACACGTGACCAGAAGTGATTATTCATGGGAATATCCATAATTTCTTTCCATTAGGTACAAACTAGACGTTCCAAATTATATATTCTATTAAGACCCATGAAACATGTCGATATGTTTAACTTAGGTCTTGAGTACATCAGTCAAGAATACATATTGGTAAAATTAGTGAGATTTCAAGTTAATAACTCGTTAATCGTTAAATTATTTTCTAATTATTACTCATTCGTTATCAGCAGCTATTCAAATTACTAGTGAGTCTTCCATCCAAACATTCTTAATAATTTATATTCCACAGTACCAGTGATATTGGTTTTTTAGAACAGTTTACCTCTTTGACAAGCTTGCATATTGCAACTAGTAGACGAGGTTTGTCAAACTATGTTATATCTTAGTGCAATACAATCTGAACAACTAAAGTGGTAGGGTTTAAAATACGTATGGCTAAGACTGCGAAAAACTTAAGTATTCTCCCCAAACAACGATGATTTTATTGCAGTGAAGAAATATTCAATTGTATGTAGATTTATTTCAGTAAGACTAGATTCTGGTCTTTTATATTGCTATTACATCTAATTTCAAGCTGCTTTACAGCAAACTAGATTTATTTAAGTGTATATATGGACAATGCCTCTTATGTAGATAGTTTTTCTGTATTTGAAAAATTGCCTCTAAATACACTGGTACAACTGACGGTGGAGAGAGTGCGCTCTCCCTGTTAAGATGCTTTTACATAGCCACGCGTATACAGCCACTGTCACGGAAGTTTTACTCACTACCTTCTCGCGGTGGGGGTGTTGTTTACGAAATTGAGAGGACCTAAAACGAATTCCCAGCACTTTAACCGGGTTGATGGACATGGAGGATCTAATTAAGGGAGTTGGAGAACCCTGATTCCAAACCATTGGTGCACATGGGCTACAAGATTCTGAAAGAACAAGTGGCGTATGAACCAATCGTTGGTCACCGGCTACCATGGGACTGGATCTTCCGACGTTGCTCCACCACCTTGTGGATCAGACCTTTAGGTGTAAGTCTCCGGGTGCGGTCACCTAAGAAGACCATCTACTTTGATCTGGGTTACGGGTATTATCACAGCCCACACACAAATAAATAGACTTGTGTGGTACATATGCACTCAGTGCCCCTTTGTACTAATTTTTATGTGCTTAGATAAATTTAAAGTATTACTGGTATTCTGTTTTCTTCCAAAGCCATTTTACCGTACCGTTTGTAAAATTCTAAGCTTCCTAATAAACATTTGAAGGGTTACAGTACCTGCCGACCTCTTTATATCACTTACTCGTTTATGTTTGGTGATAATAATGGCAATCTCGAAAAAAATGCGACTCTTTAGTGGAATGCAATAACTTCACACAAATCTTAACATACTGCAGTAATACAAATGTCATGAAAGGTGACTATTTAGGTTTTTGAACAATGGTTGCTCTCTAGATATTGTTCTTACAATCATCGTATAATGGAATAAAGTGAGTTAATGAGTTTATTTCACCGATAAGGTTAAACCGAATGCATTAGTGAGTATTGGCTACAGAATTCTTGTTTCAGGCACTGTTTACTAACATTGGAGAGTGTACTGTATTCTAAGTATTTATTTAAATATGAAATCTTAGGTATTATATGTTACTCGTTCAGTCAATGGTATTGAGTGCTGTTAGAGGTATGAGGGCCGTTATCACTTCCCGCTTGCCCACACCGTGGGAGGGTTTTTCTAGAAGTATCTGGGAAGGAAATTGGATTAGATGTGGTCTTAGTGACGTGAGAGCGCGACCATAGTGCCCGTGGACAACTGCTTGAGGTCGTTCACATACGACATTTTTATGGATAATTTTCGTGTTAGCTCCGTACTTGTCGAGACCTTACCGCTGGAGACGGATATCCATGGGATAAGGCGAGGTGTGCATTTTTGTGGTCGACCTTTTCTAACCACACCACTCCTTGTTGGAAGGCAGCATCGCTGTTATGCTGGTTGCCTGAAGAAAACTGTTTTAGTGTGTCAATGTTTCCCGAAATTCCCGTCGCCAATTGTTATATCTTGTTGTTTGAATACTTCTTGTTATTATCCTGTCGTCGCTGATTGTTATTTCGGAACGAGGGACATTCGGAATTCTCACGACTCGGAAGTAAGAACACAAAGTCGGGTATAATTGAAGATTTATTGACCCCAAAACACGACGACAACGATCTAGTCGAAAGCACACTCATTTATATATTGATTGTACACACACATTGATTAATAATTAGGATGAAATCACTTATATAAAAATACTCAGTTATCACAAATGACATGCTGAGCATAGTTTATGTCAATGGAATACAGAATAAAATATACGAGAAAACAAAACAAATACTACATTGAGTAATCATGACATTGAATCAAAACGGAAGTAATATTGAACAAAGTCAATAATTAGTAAATCAATCGAAAATCGACTTTTCTTTCCATCATATCAGAAACACATTACTACCATCACACCTCTGTACAGTCAGCAGTACAACTTCGCCTTCGGACCTTGGGTTTACTGCTTTTAGTTTCAACGTTCTTCAACCGACCTGTTTGGCATGGTAAGACCTTCAGGAACGATAGTCCCAGTCAGTATAGCTCGATTGGTTCATTACGATAGACAGGCCCGACCACTACGTCAAGGCAACAACAACGGTCGGTATGTTACTCGTTAGTAATAGAATACTTAAGTCCTACGAGACTCCTCGAGTTTTTAGGTATTTCCAGTCGATAAATTTATAGACTTGTCGTGTCGGTTACTATGTTAAGCCCACATAACTTATTCTAGCTACTGGACAGGCCAGTTTATCCATTCTTCTAGGGTTACGTCTTGACCTTTTTAATTATTCGCTTGTCAATCCTGACTGCTTTTATGTAAGCGTAAGTGTGTGCATTTCTTTTCTTACTCATCGCATATCTGTATCTTATTTTTGCCTGACTATAAATATCGATTAACGCTTGATTAGATTGAATTAGTTCATACGCCTTCTCCACTGCTCGTCATTTATCTTCGCTTCTCCCTGATTGCCTGCTTAAATCAATGAGTGCATGCGATGTACATATTGAAAATCCATTCTCGTATTTGACTTATTTACTTCCGTTATTCACTAACACGGATTAAGTAAATTATTACATACGAGGATAGCCGACATACTTATTTCAATAGAAATCAATCATGCGATCTAACTGGAGTCAGATCTCGGGCCACTAAAAGTTACAAGAATATGTGCATCTTACTAAGTCGATTATTTAGAAATTATCTCTTTTAATCAGCATTATTCTTGTTCACCTTGAAAAATCACTTCTGAATTAATTACACCAAATGATTGAAGGCATAGATACAGATTTACGTTGTTGCTTACGAATTGCTTTGGTCCTTCGTTACCAGATCAGCGGCTTATTTCCAATTGTTTCTGTTTACTTGCATCTTTTCAAATATTTCACTTTAAGAACTCTGCGTTTTTGTATATATATATATATATATATATATATATATATATATATATATATATATATATATATATATATATATATATATATATATATATATTTACAAGCTGATAAGTATAATGGGGAATTACACTCGTTTGGATGTTGGGTATATAGTGGTATGAATCTTGACGTTTTAGTAATTATGGGCCGAACTGCGTAATAATTCATACTGATTACAAATTTAGGTTTACACTTCAACATAAAGCTATTTGAATCACCTCTGAATATTAGAGTGGTATAGATACGTTTCCTTAGTACCGAATTTTCAATCGATCTCATCAATTTATGAACCTCAGTTATATCCATTTTTCACCAATATTTCAGTCAAAAGCTTTACATAACTCGTTTTTACTGGACTGTACAGTAAGTGTGAAAAATGAGATACTTTATATAGATAGAGGATTTAATTGAACCATCGTCTCTTATTTTAATAAGTATATATAAGGAGGCAATCGTGGTCTAAGTATGAGGGTGGTTAAACACATATCTGAATGTTCACAAAAACAAATGAGTTCCAGTAGCCTAATAAGAAGATATGATAAACAAACACTTAACTCCATTTCTAAGTATTTAGTCGAAGTCGGCCACAGGGGTATATATCAAATCAGCCTTTGTGGTGTTGTGTAAACGTTTCCAGGGGCGAATACTAAAGTTTATTGAGGCCTTAGACTTACGAAAAATCACACCATTTCTTTGCATGCAAGGTCATTTTTTTACCTCCTAAATCCGCCTTGGTAATGTTGATTTACCATCCATAGTAGTGTGATTCATTCTTATCTTCCAACTTATCTAGTTGATCTTCATTTTTCACATATAAAGGTTAGGCGCCAGCCTAGAAACCTGAAGATCCTGGGTTCGATCCACATTGGGGTCGTGGATGTATATTGTTGTAAATTCTCATAATATGATGAGATACAGAGAGATTATAGTTTGTGGATGACCTCAGAGCGACGCTCACGTAACCTTGGGATAACTCATTTATTAGGATCTAAGATGGTTATGAATTAGTATGAAGAATTAGGATTGTGATTTAGGGTTAGTCATTAAATTAAGAATTTTCACCACGAACTAACATCAGCTATAATCTCAAAATACTCTTTGACGAAATAGATGAGTGAACTTCATGACAAAACCCAAAATTCACTATCCTTAATTTCATTGGTCCATCCATAAATCATAGTCTCACCAGATTACACAAATATTTTAACATGTAAATATGTGATCAGATTTTTCAACATGTATTTCAATAAGATGTCACGTAATTTTGACAAATTTTTATCTCCGCTTTGAGTTGTATAAAGTTACAATAAGATTAACTGTTTGAAGATGAAAAAATGTGTTTGAAATATCAAAAATGTAATGTTTCATTAGTCTTCTTGACACTGTCAGTCAGTCAGCTGCAAAGTAGGACCAGGCACACATGCGCATCATTCCAAGTTGCCACACATCATTACCACAACAAGATGAACACCGGATTCATGGGAGTAGTTACTTCAGTAACAGTTATATTATAAAAGAAAGATTGTGTATAAGGATATAGTGCAGGAAGAGATAATTAGTTCGTAGAAAGAAAGATATGAAGCGATTTTAATCTCGCGGTTTAAGAGAGAACAAAGAAAGTATACACCGACGTCATTGTGATCGATTCTGAGCCATGTCATATAAAGTCTAACCATTGGTTACGATAGTCACGCAGACCTCAACCAAGTAGTCTGCATCTACCAACATGGCTCATATCAGATGTTAGCGACTTTATGAACTGCGTCTAACCTCACTATTACTTACCCGGTAATCCCACCAGATGCGAGCACCATTTCTAAGACATCTGTGATCGAGTATCTTCTAGTCTTAAAGGCCACGTTTTACAGCCAAAAGGTAGAACAGAACGAACTGCTGCATTGTATACTCGTCCCTTAATTGATAAACGGGTATCTCGCCTTCGCCATAGGTGAGATAATTTGGCAAAAGCCAAACGAGCTTTTTGCATCCGTGCAGAGATTTCGTCAAACACCAACCCAACAGAGCTCATGAGACTTCCAAGGTGGTGAAGTTGTCGACGTGTCCGACTACTTCACTCTCCATCCTTAGTTCATTTGTTGACGCAGGCCAGTCCTGAAACAACAACTTACATTCAAAGGAATAGCAACGCATCCCAAACGTTTCCTTCGTGGAAATCTTTCTACATTGGAGAGACCTAAAATAAATTCCCATGTTATACAATATATTGACTTCAGCTAACATATTGTCTCAGTATTTTTCATCATTCATAAATGTATACAAAAGGTTATCATATATACTTAACAAATGTATTGTTATGAGAAAACATTAAGTTGACGATATGTTTTCTCCTTTCTTCACTATGGGAATAATTCTTCAATAGTAGTCATAGTAGTGAATAAGTAGGATCGATAAATGAATGTCATTTTTGATTGGTTGTTAATCAGCTGACCAATAAAATATAAGCTCTTCATTATATTCTCTCTCTTCTCTTTTCATTTTTATATACATATATAAGTTATCGGAAAATAATTTAGAAACAGTAATCTGTCGTTGTTGTTGTTGTTGTTCTTACTGTGAGAAGTATATGTATATATATACACACAGAAATGAAGTTCATTTTAGCAGCACTTTTACTTTTACTTGCATCAATAAGTCGATTAGTTGTTATTCATAATGGGAAAATTGGTCAAAAAGAAGTTGTTGTTTCAATACCTATTCATGAATGTTATCATCATGTTACAAATCTGCATACATATCCTCGTGTAAGTTAAATATTTATTTAAACAAAATATTATTCAATTTTTTTATCATATTGATTTTATTCTAATTTCAATGATCATCTTTGTTAGAAAACTGACGTTCATTGAAGAATCAATAAAATTTACAATGTACTTGAAAAACTGTTTGATCCTATTTCCTATCATGGCAAATGTACCGATTAATCAAGTCAGTTGGTCAGTTATGATCAACGAAGATCATGACACAATTATGAATTGTCTTAAGTTGAATGCCTTAGTACAGCGGGAAGAGTCATCCCCCTCTTGAAATGCTCTCACATGACCACGCGTATACAGCCACTGCCACGGAAGTTTTACTCACTACCTTCTCGGGGTGTTTATGAAATTGAGAGGACCAAAAGCGAATTTCCGGCACTTTAACTGGGTTGATGAATATGGAGGAGTTGAAAACCCTGATTCCAAACCATTAGTGCACATGGGCTACAGGATTTTGAAGGAAAAAATGGCGCATGAACCAATTATTGGTCACCGGTTATCATGAGACTGAATCTCCTGACGTTGCTCCACCATCTTTTGGATCAGTCCTTTAGGTGTAAGTCTCCGGGTGAGGTCACCTAAGAAGACCACCTACTTCGATCTGGGTTACGGGTATTATCACAGCCCACACACAAATGAAGAAACTTGTATTGGTACATATGTACTCGGTGTCCCTTTGTACTAATTTTTATGTGCTTAAATAAACAAATAATAGATAAATAAGCATGAATAAAACTAATAGTCAGTGACTTCATGAACTGGTATTGGATTGAGTCCAAGCCTGTTTGGTCTCGTGACGAATTTCTACAGAACCATTCAAATCAGCGAATTAGTTCGTTCGTCATTGTTCAAATAATAATTTATTTTTTAAATTCTCTTTTAATTAAAAAATCATTCCTAATTGAGGTTAATATTAATTGAGATCATGAACCGATCAATGATAGACCACCATTGAATACCTAGAAACACTGGACGATCATTTCGTCCTAGTATGGGACTCTTCGATCGTGTAGATCCACGATTTCACATACAGCACTCAAACCCATGACCTTCGGTCTCGTAAGCAAACACTTAACCTCCAGACCATTGAGCAGACATCAAACGGTGTTAATGTCCAATTTCAACCAATTCACGATATTGTGTGACCATCTTCCATTTTGTTCGGTGGTTAACTGTCTTACTCTCGATACGGTTGAATTCTACTGGTCACAGCTTCCCACCAGAACTCCGATAATTACCTGTCAAAGTTTTTACTAGTAAGCACATGATAATTATCAGCACAGTAATTCTATTTTTTTAATTTTTAAAATAATTTCATTTCATGCTATGATTGAGTAGAAATTCCCATCCCAAGGACTTAGCTTTAAGGATGATGGAATAGCTGATAAGATTGGTTTTAGTTTGGAATCCATAATAATAAAGATGTATCCAGCTGACATGCTGATACTTTTGGGCGAAAGAAACCGCTCACTGTATATATATATATATATATATATATATATATATATATATATATATATATATATATATATATATATATATATAGCAGTTCAATTGAATGTCAATTGCTTGGTAATGATCATGGAATCGATGTTTCAAAGTCTGTCAACATAGTTGGTAAACAAATAAAGTCGAATTTACTATATTTCACTGAATCAGTCGCCACAAAAAGACTTGAAACAAAATCCTGCATTCATACATTTTGATCTGCTCTCAATTCATCAATTCTATTTTGTTTTAATAATTACATAACTATAACATTGCTATTTCATGTCTAAATCATTCTGTTTCTATGCTCTTAGTTTTTATGCCAGTATATGTATATATTCAACCGATAAATATTTGTAAAAAAAGGCACTTGTGATTTTTCAATACTTATTGGTCTTTTCAATTCATTCTCACTGATAAAAACCTTCCTTATATAATGCTATACACTGGTTTTTGAAGAATGAATACTACTATGTTTAGGTTGTAAACAGTGATTGAGAAACTACGAAATAGGAATAAATTCATATTATTCTGTTACGTTTATCGTGCCTGCTGTAGTCAAATTTATCAACAAGAAAATATTGTATGAAATCATTTCATACTTTTCATTCTTTAATCATTTCTTGTGAACTATACCTCCGATATCTATATTTCTTCTGTAGTCGATGATAATATTTTGCCTCCTACTAATTCTGTTTTGCGATATGCTGGTCCAAAGTAGGGGTATCCTTGATCCAATGAATATTTATATCAGATCTTGTATAGACTATGACTGAATGATCATACCTGATGTGATATGTGTAAGTCTTGCATTTGATTCTATGTAGGGTTGTGTCTTCAAAATGTCATAGAGTACTAAACCAAAAAAAGCATATATTTCTCCTCTCTTTTGGTTTTTACTGGTTATCTACATGAAATCAGCTTATAATGAAGGATATTACTTACTAAATAGAAAAACGTTCAAAAGAACTACTCGAAATATTTATACTCAGAATTATTTTCATCATTCTAATCCAGTTCAGTAATAAACAGTCAATAGACACTTTGAAAAATGTGATTTTGGATGAGTGGAATTGTTCCATATTATCTATTTGTTTTTCCTTATTCTATCTTACAGTGGATACCTTCCGTTTTGTCCATAGAAAATTTGACGAAATCATTCCATCTTGCTATTGGTGAAGAATTTGTTATAGTGGTTGATTATGGATTTTTAGGTAAGATATATTTATGAATGTCATAAAACAATCATTAAATCATTACTTTCATTGTATATATGGTTTGATACAATTTCTACCCTAAATAATTTTCTATCAGTCGAGAACAACAGCCAAAGCCCCATGATAAATATTCACTTATTTTGTACTTTATATTCAACTACTTATAACTCAAAACAGTAGCATCAAATGTAAAGGCTAAAAATTAATGTCATATTCACGAGTTGTTAATTGTCATACGACGTGACATCTATGTAAATTAATAAAAACACTTTAGATGTACATGAGTTTGTAAACATCATTCATAAAATCGTTTATTGAATAAATGAATACACTAAAGAATGAGATGGAATTGATTGCAGCAAAAAAATTTTAATTACAATTGATTGATCACTGGATGGTGGTGATCAATGTCTTGCTTGTCTAGTCCTTATTAGTGCAGATCGAATTCTATCGATCGTGTTGCAATGTGGCCACCAGTCTAGGTGACTCGACACTGCGGGTACTATGTATTGAGATTTAGATGGTGGTTGGAGGTAGTCAACAGGAAACCCTGGACCCGGGTTTCGTGCTACTTGACACTCGTCAGCAAGGTATACCTGTAGTCACGGCTCGGATAGCTCAGTGGTAACGTCTCTGACTGTGAAGCTGGGTGACACGAGAACGAATTCGCCAGGGAGAACCAGTTCCCTCAAGATTACAGGTACACCTTGCTGACGAGTGCCAAGTAGCACGAAACCCGGATCCAGGGTTTCCTGTTGACTACCTCCAACCACGATCTAAACAAATTTTAATAATGGAGAGATTATCCCATGGATGACAAGATTTCATCTTCCAGCCGATAAAACCTAAACGAACAAATAGAGTTAGACAAACAGAGTCGAGAAAAGAAGCAAAACGAAAGAGGAGTATTTTCAGAAAGTGCCTGAGTTTACATGCCACATGGTAAAGTATTTAAATGTGTGATCAATAAAGCAATTTAAGATTAACAATATCGTTATTTTGAATGAACGAATTTTAATTTCAACCTTTTAATGACTTCAACAAGCACAGAAAACTCGATTCTACATGTCTACTGACTATTTTTAATGGTTTTGAAGATATTGCCGCCAGTGTCACCATTTAGTACACGAATTGAATACATTCTGACTTTTGTAATCTCGATTTTTGAAGAATGTTTAGTTGGAATTACATTATCTTTAAAATTTCTCTTCCGTTTCTGTAAACTGCTTATCTCCATGCAATACCTATTTGTATACATCATAGAAACAAATTACCTTATAAATTTGTTAGTTCTTGAAAAACTTGCTAATTACCATTACTGTTTGTTATGGCTGATAAAGGACTATTTTCGCTCCTTATTCAGCTTAACAGGACTAAAAGGCTTGCTGCCTGGTACTACAGAAATAAAGATTTATTTCAGAATGTACCGGTTGAACTACACAGTGGTTCAAAAGTTCTGACCCATCTTTGTAAGTTGAGATCAAGTTAGGATATCAAGTGTTCCAATTGAATTTAACCAAAAATTTCCACTTATTTCAATTTTATTAAGTAGTCAATATCTTCGGGTAAATATTATACGTAGTGTTACTAATTTTAGGTAGGTACCCGTTGCAGTTGTCTTAGGTTACCGAATGAATTCAGTGGTAATTGTTTCACTTAACTAGACAGAATGAATGACGTATCCAAACACCCACCTTAATAAATCAAATACCGTTCAATCAAAACATATATCTCTGTACCGTCCAGTCAATCGGTGAACATGACTTTTGTCTACGTCGTTTATCAGTTCATAAGCAAGGACTATCATCATTTCCTTGAGATGTAACGTGAAAATTTAATCATGCTATGAGCTTAAAGATTGATATTAAATTATTGCGCGATGTGAATAGCTAAGAATGTTTCTATAGTCAAGATTAGAATGTAAAAAATTCGTCACAGCACCTTTGTCTATTCAAAAAGAATAATACATTTGTGGTGTTTTTATTGTGTCTCTCAGTGGAGGGAGATGCCTCAACATTGACCAGTCAGTAAGTTATATACTTTGTACAATGTATTTCTATTTATCAGTCACGTTACTAAACATAAATTATACATCATTGTGATAAGTTTTGCGCAATAAAAAGTCGATTCCTACTATGCAAACAAGTTAGTGTATAACAAGGTATGTTTATTAATCGAAATTTACGAATGAAAAACTTACTTTCTAAATTCGTCGTTACAGGTACTATGTCATATGTTGCGCAAATATTATCTGTTGAGCCAAATACTAGCTTCAGCTTTATCCTAGACGACTGGTTAGAGACAAGATTTGATTTCGCATTCACCTCTATTGACCAAGAAAAATCCAGGATGAAATTAACCATCAGCTCAAATAAAAATAATATGTTTTATAAAGTAAGTCATACTATCTTGGCTTCAAACTTTTACATAAATAATGTAACTACTGGTATTTATTTAAGTAGTCAAACTTCAAAAAATAAAATACGTCTTGCATATGTGCTCCATTCCAACTCTTATTTTATTATTTATTTATTATTAGAAGCTTTATTCAACATTATATTTTTGGTACAACATAGAATTCTCAGCATAAAGTATTTCAACAAGTTTCCTTTTCTTATACCTTGATCTATTGTGACGATAAATTTTGAATGATAACCGGTTAGATGTTAGGAGTTCGGTAATCCACATTTGATTAATGTTCGTTCGTTTCAATGCATATTGCCAGCCACCATGATGTCGATGATTGTACCTTTTTGTATCACGTATAGCGAAAGGTTGTAAACTTTTCATAAACGCGCCTGAATAGATTGTGTGCACAATGGACATAATGATGAACTAAAACAAGCAACTAAAACAGATAACTTGATGAAATATGTAGATCGGAGGAACAGGTAGCCCAGATATTCAAGCAGGCCGCCACCTCAACCTCAATATAGCATTAGTTCTTTAGCCACTTTACATCAACGATAGAAAATTGTCTTCACAGTACTATTTCATTCAATAAGAATTGTTCGACGAATTGTCAACATATAGATTTGGAGTTCTAACTAAAGTTTGTACATATTTCACTTTAGATAGGTGGTCAATATTTCCAGGTTTCAAACGTTAACTGTAGTTCACAGTCTTGCACTCAATCTTATGCGTGCCTGGTTACTAATATGGACAGTATTCAACATATTAAGGAATATGTTCGATTATTCGCCTTTATTGTAGTCATTTAATAATATGATCATTTTGTACATTAGGGGTGTTTGTATTTTATTTAAATGCGGTCTTACTCTTGTTACATATTTTGAATCATTCTGACCAGTTTAATCTAATTTACTGTATTAAAAAGATTTAAGAACATATTGTTAATTTGATTTTTTGCATCCTCTATGATTTATTCTCTTTCGGGCTGATGCATGAGTAACTCTCGAAGTAGAAAACGTCTGCTACATGTTTGTTGTAATTTTTATTATCAAATGATCGATCCAATATCTCGAAAAAATTCATACGTTACTGCAGATCCGAACTCACATTGGTTATGACTTTATGTCCGGCTTTTTATCACGTGGTTTGTCCACCAATCAAAATACAATTTATACAATCTTAGCACTGTGCCAACCAATGACGTCCTTATTGGTCCTATGTCCGCCTAGCCTGTCCACTTGAGTCCAGAACACCAATAACAGCTTAAAATATGCGAATCGTATATTTCAAACATAATGTGTTTATATATCAATCAAACAGACCACAACGCACCATAAAATAGGAAATAACATCTGTACACAATAAAGCCGAAAAGTGGCTTTGAACGTGGTAGGCAGCAGTCAATAAACTGAATATAGCTTAAGAACCGTAAATCGTACAATAATAAAATATAGATCAAAATAAAGCTCTTAATAAGAGGCATATAAACATACATAATTTAGTTATTGAATAGTTATACCATAAGAATGTGTAGATAATATTAGTCAATTAATATGTCTCGGAAGTTACATGTGATTTAATCTTCGCTCAGATATAACAACATTGTTGTAGGTCTATATACTAAATGTGGTAATTAAGTTATTTTGAATAACCGGAAAATTAACTAAATCTAAAGAACACTGAATTTGGTTCTCTGTCAGTCTCAATTTAGTTAAGTTTTGTGAACTACACGAATATTCACTGGCTGTGATTTTATTACATGAAAAATCTAACTACTGATACGTATATAAGTAGTCAACTACCAAAAGACAAAACATGAGTTATTTAGAAAATGAGAAAATTCACTGATCATGAAGCAAATGTTTTCTTGAGTACAATTTCGCTAATCGAATCTCACTGCTTAAAAGTAAACTTATTTGGATGATGCAGAAGGTTTACAGAAAGTTAAATATCTATATCCTAGTGAGTAAATTAAGATAAATTCTTAAGTTAACATACATTTCACTTGATATTGTTTTACTTGAATCTTCCCATTGATGTTTTTAGGACTGAAATTGATCAGTCTCTTATTGGCATATTTGCATACTGTTCTTATTGCTTCGGTATTGTCTTAATTTACAAGCATTATGAGCAAAGATGGATAAGGCCATGGTACTTGGTTCGAGTCACAGAGTGAACATCAACTCTGAGATGCAGGTACATCCAGCTGAGTAGTACCAAATAGGACGAAACGCGCATCCTGGATTCCACTGCTAGCCAATATTCATCTTTGCTTAACATACATTTGTTTTTAGAAAGCGGTTACATCACATGGTTTATGAACTATAAAAGGGATAGAAACCGGACGTACTTCTATTTAAAGTCTGGTTACTTAGTTTGAGCTGGCTATTAAGGTTTAATGACTGGACTGAAGTGAATCTTAGGATCTTACCTTTTTTATTTTTCACACAGTAACGGAATAGCCGTACGGTTGTTTCTGATGTGTACATCCGATCATAGTGAGGTGCGAGTGGTTAATGAAAACAGACAGACAATTATGTACATTTTGTAACTTCTTGTTAAGAGTTGTATTATTATTTGAACACATAAACATTGGTACAAGGAGGCACCGAATACACATGCGCCATACAACTCATTGCGCTACACAGGCGCCATAAGTATAAAATAAATAGAAACGAATGTTATCAAGTGATTTTAAGTGGGATTTGTCTGGAAGTGAGTTTAAGCAAGAGTAATCTTTCCGTTAGTAATCATCATCTGGTTTTTGTGAGGGTAATGATACTGCCCAGATGCTCAAACTGAAGCAAGTAGTTTTCTTAGGACTCCACAACCTGAGCCTTTGATTTAAACGTTCCATCTATAAGATAGTGGATCAAAGTTAAAAGATGCAGTCCTATGGTAGCTGATGACCAACAATAAGTTCATACTCCATTTGTTCCCTCAGAATCCTGAAACTCATGTGCACCAGTGGTTTGAAATCAGGGTTTTCCAACTCTCCTAATTGGATCCTTCATATCCACCAAACCGGTTAAAGCTCCAGAAATTCGCTTTTGGTTCACTCAATCTCGTAAACAACATCCCAGCCACGAGGAGGCAGTGAGTAGGACTTCCGTGGCAGTGGCTGTATACGCGTGGTCATGTGAGAGCATTTGGAGAGGGAGAGCGTACTCTCCCCACTTTCAACCATACTGGGGCATTTTGGGTCAAAGATTTGTAATATATGTGTGTCAGTCACAATGATAACTTATATCTTAATCTGAGTATTTTTAGCGTTTGGGAGATTAATTATCTGATCTGAGTATCTAGAATTAATACATATCAATCAAATACATCATAGAATCATCCCTGTCGTTCGTACAAAGAAAACAAGAGTTACGGTATCCCTTCTGGAAAAATCGAAGATCCTTTTAGTTTTTTAATCTTGATGTATTATTAGTTGATTAAAGAACAGATTTTTTAAATGAATCATTAATAGGAAGGAAAACAACAGTATTATAATGTGTAAACAGGTTACTCTACTTATATATCGAAAAAAAGAAAACAATTACAATACAATTATGTTTACATGGATATAAATCTTCAACTTTCTTCCGAACTCTCATAAAGATTCATTTAGAATTTAATTGGTCTATAATGAAATAGAGTTAAGATTTGTTTCCGGATATAAAGTTTAGGGTAAGAATATAAGGTTAATATCGATTTACCTGTTATATACAATCGAATATGCCAGAATGAAGTATTTGATACATTTAACCCTATTATTTATATTCTATAATAGTTCTGAATACTATATAAATATATTTCACTGCTTATGATACATGATATCTGAATACCGATTACCTCATCCTTATAATATGCTTTACTTTTATTTATTTATTTATTTCAACATATAAATATTGGTACAAGAGGGCACCAAATATATATGCGCCACACCATATTTGTGTGTGTGTGTGTGGGCTGTGATACTGCCCGGGTGCCCAAAACGAAGCAGGTGGTTTTCTTAGAGGGCCACACCCCTAGCCTTTGACCTAAGGGTCTGACCCACAAGGCAGTGGAGCATCGTGAGCAGATGCGTTCCCATGGTAGCCGGTAACCAACGACTGGTTCATACGCCATTTGTTCCCGCAGGATACTGGAGCTCATGTGCACCATTGGTTTGGGATCCAGTTCAAGCGCCGGACATTCGCTTTTCGTCCTCTCATTTTCGTAAACAACACCCCCGCCACGAGAAGGCAGTGAGTAGGACTTCTCTGATAGAGGCTGTATACGCGTGGCCGTGTGAGAGTATTTCGAAAGGGAGGACGAGTCCACCCCACTCTTGGACATACCAGGGCATTTGGAGGCAATGTATATTACTTATCATAAGTAATATGCTTTACTAATCAATGATTGTATCTTCCCTTCTTTTTCTTTCTTCATTATTTCTATGTTTCTTCTCTTTTAGCATATCATCTTACCAATTGCTCATTTATACTATACAAATTGGTTAACACAATGTTTATTACGTTTTCAATTAGCATATTCTTAATGAATAATTTGAACACAAATTTATATACAAAAAAAAGTAAAAAATAAAGAAAAACAAAGAGAAAAACAAAAACAAGAAAAGAAATTTAATGAATCCCATAGTGTAATAAAAAAAATATTGATTTTTATGGGATTCAATTATGGGATAATCGATTAAGTGCCTATATATTATCATTGTACTGCATAATATTTCGAATTGTTTGTTCTTTTTTATATTCGAATACTGAATAAATTGTGTGTGTGTGCTTTTTATTGAAAAAAACCTCAATTTGTACCATGAACATTGTTCTACATTTTTTGGAATTTGGTTTCTATAGTAACATTACGGAAAGATATTATTTAAGAAAAAATTAAAATTTGTTTTATTAAAATGATATTTTATGGATCGGTTGAAGTTAGACATGAACACCGTTGAATGCTAGATCAGTGGTTTGGAGGTAAAGTATTCGTACGCGAGACTGATTATTCCTAAGTTCGAATCTCTCGAGGCGGAATCGTGGATGCGCACTGCTAAGAAGTTCCACACTAAAACAAAACGGCTGTCCAATGATTACAGGTTTTCTATGGTGGTCTAGCTATAATTGACTCATGATCTCAACTATTAAATTATTATAAAGTCTACAAAACCTCATTCCTGAAAATAATATTGCGTATAAATTCAAATGATACGTTCTGTTAAATAATTACGAATATTTATAATGTCCAGTACATAGTAGATCAGATCTGATTATTCCCTATTGGTTAATAAGCCCAATCAAAAGATGCTTTGATATTATATAAGGTTATATTTACTTATACTTGTTACCCCTCGTTCAGGAGCATAGGCCGTTCACCAGCATTCTTCATCTAGTCAATCCTTTCCACTTCTTTCCAGTTGCTATTCCTCCTATTCATGTTTGCTTCCAATTCCCGACTTAGTGTGTTCTTTAATATTCCTTTTTTCTGCATCCCTTCATGATTCCAAGTTAGCACTTGCCTAGTGATTCAGTTTAATGATTTTCTCAATGTATATCTTATCCACCTCTAGAGTCTATTCATAACTTCCTCTTGGTCTGCAAGCTGGTTTGTTCTCTCCTATATTAGGCTGTTGCTGATGGAATAGGGTAAACGGACATTGATCTGTAACTTCTGACTGGGATATTTATTCAACAGAGCTCCATAATCAAATTTGTAACGGTGTAATCATTGCATTTATGGTATTATATCATCAGTATCGACTTAAAATCTCTGTCAGTTTGAATGTGATAAAGAAACCTATGGTATTGTAATACAATATTAATTATAAGTTAGTAACTGGAAGACAATGTATTTTTATAGCCAAAGCAATGTAATATTGTCTGTGTGTAGGTGTTTGTGAGCTATATGAAAGATAAATTAACTTGAGTATGGTAATATTCAGCTTTAATTAAACTTTGAAACATTTTAATTTTGTAGTGAAGCATGTATCACGTGACAACTATTGCACTTCAGTTATTATTCCGCAAATATCCTTTTTTTTCTGACCAAATATCTGAACCTTAACTTGGAAGTAAAAAGAAATTGATGTTGGAACCACCCGACACTTCTAAAAATACATGAATTCTTTTCATTGAGAATTTTATTGTTGTCCACAAGTCAGATATTACTATCTTAGTTCTTCAAAAAGTTTTGACGCAAACATCAATAAATAGCTGCTCATATATCAATAATTCCACACTAACTAAATCTTTTCGTTTGGTAGTAGTACTGTGATGTGCGCTACTTACATTGACATAAGTAGTATATAATGATAATCGTGAACAGAAGGTCGGGCAGCAAAGAGACAAGAGGATCGAACAGTAAAGAATGGAAACAAAATACAATTTGTATGAAAATGCAGGAACAATGAAGTCTGATTCATTATGAGACAATCGATTGACATTTCGCAAATTAAGCATATACTTTATGATTGTTAGGTTTTATTAACAAGTCCTGTAATTTTGTGTTAAATACATTCGATTGTCCCCATTGATGTTCTTGTTTACTACAGTACTACGAGTAAAGATGATTTTTTAGTATACGCTGTTTTATGGAGGTTGTTGTTTGTTATAGATTTTACTAAACTATGAAAGACAAATATTGACAACAAAAAGGCACAAGACAGCGTTTTCACCCTATAATAGAGCTATCAAAATTTCCATAGCCTCTGCGTAACCCGAAGAGTTTCACACTGTGATGACAGAGCTAACCAATGATTCTTCATTTTAATTGCATGTCTTTCTTAGATTGGTTCGTAATCTAAACAAAATTCAACAATCCCTACTCAGAAGAGTCTAATTGCTAGAGGTAATTATTTTAGTTATTGCAGACAGACGTGACTAGTTGCGTGCAGCGGCTTCCTGTATGGGGCAGTTACCTAGCGAAGACAACTAAAGATGGCATTGTGATATCAGGAATTGATCGAAGTTTGATACTAACACTGCTGGACGCCGGCTCAGTAGTCTGGAGGTAAGGTAGTCGCGCGCCAAACTGAAATTTCTCATTTCTATATCCGGACGTGCGATCGTAGTTGCATGCTTCTGAGAAGTCCTATACTAGGATGAATCGAGTATTTTCAATGGTGGACTAGCTGATATTAGTTCGTAATTTAAACCATTTCGTAATCGCACATTACGATTTCATTGTACGAAATAGCTATTTTAAAGTTGGAAAATGGTGTCTACACTTAATTAAAGTTTGGAGATACCAACCCTCCCTGTCAAATATCATACATAAATAAGGTTTACTGACATCGATAATCCTTCGTGATTTGTTATGAGGCAAAACATACATGTGTAAATATATTTTAACTACTTCTTAGTAGTATAGATCTATTGTATAAATTTATACCCTCTATGTTAACCAGCGATCGTAATAGAAAAAATTATCACTTTTCGCACTAAAATATTAAGAGCTTTCAGAAATGTCCAATATATGTCATTTCGCTTATCGGTTTTCCGCATTCAAAACAAAAGCGATCGGAGCTATCAACACATGTGTACTAATTGACGGACAAAATGACCTTGAGTATAGGACAAGAAATCAACGCACTGAAAGGAAAACTGACCAGTATGAAAACAAATTCCTCAAGTTTAAGGATACACGTATACTGACAAAAAGCGATAAAAATTCAGTCAACAATGTTTAAAACGAGGTCATTCAAAACTTTATTAACTATGAAATCAACACCACACAGAATAAACAAGTTCGTGGATTAGTAGATCAAGGGATAACCGATTACACCATAGTATTATTCATTCATGATATGAATGGTATATGTAAATGCAAGTTTTCTGAGTTCGAATTTGAAATGGAACCTATTAACAGAATTAGTCAGTTGTTTAGTATGATTAACTGCTGTGAGATAGTAACTCACTGAAAACAATGGGGGATGTGTCGTTCAATTCCGTGAATTGATTGAAATTAAACATTAACACCGTTGGATGCCGGTCGGCTCCGTGGTTTAGTGGTTAAGCGGTTGCGCGCGGAAATGATAGGTCCTGGGTTCGAATCTCGCGAGGGGGACGGGATTGTTGATATGCACTGCTAAGGAGTCCCACACTAGAACGAAACGGCCGTCCTATGCTCCTGATTTTTCCTTGGTAATCTAGCTTTAATTGATTCATGATCTCAACTATTAAAAATACTATAATATTCATAGAAACCCTTCTAACTTATATTTGTTCAATACTTCTGAATTATTCATAATAACAGTATATTTTTATCGCCGTAAACTGGCTTGTATCTTTTGAGTATATAATGATTTAATAATTAATTGTTTTGGATTATAGTTTCCGGTGACAGTTATTTAGAGTATTTGGTTTGATAAATCATTATTTGTAAATAGTATTTTCCATTAAAAAAAACCCAATCCTAATGATGAATGATAAATGGCATTATAATGTTTTGTTTGAATCCTATAATATAATAAATTAAAACTAACTTTCAAGTAATTAATCCCTTTTATCAATTTTCAATTGAATAATGAAAAGATTAAGTTGATCTATAAAAATATTAGTATACTGTATTTGCATTATGCATTAAGCTGTTTGATTACGTATAGACTTGTCAGAGTATTAAATGAAAGTTCAAATATGTAAAATAATAATTAATATCAGAAGGGGTCTTGTGGAGATTGTAGTAATTTCAACAATGGTGATCATGAGTCAATTGAACCTAGACCACCATGGAAGCAATGACCAGTGGAGTTCAACCTGCTCAGTTGTGAGGTAGTAACTCACTGATGACAATGGTGGATGTATCACTCAATTTCGTGGATTAGTTGAAGTTAGACATTAACACCGTTTGATGCCGGCTTAGTGGTCTAGTTGGTTAAGCGCCTGGCGCGAGACTGATAAGCCTTGGGCTCGAATCCCGCACGGCGGGGTCGTGGTTGAGCACTGCCGAAAAGTCCCACACTAGAACGAGACGGCCTTCCAATGCATCCAGGTTTTCCATGGTGATCTAGCTTCAATTGACTCATGATCTCAACTGTGGAAAATAATAACTGTAAATAAAGGAGAAAGGGGAGAGAGAGGATAAAAAACGAACATCGTATAGAAAAACATAGGAAATCGTCGTATTATAATAGGCCATAAAATGATTTAAGGATTACTAGGACAAGTTCAAGGTTTAGACAAATTGTATTTGTATACATATATAAGGGGTGTTTAAATTAATGAATTGTTAAGGCTTTTATTAACCTGAGATTTTGTCCTTGACAATTTCTATACAATGTTTTAAATGTTGTATTAATGTCAATTTATGGGCTGTCGATCAACATGGTTTATTATTTTCCATGTCGATCGAAACACATGAGATTAACTAATTTTGAAGCCATCAAGGAATATGTTCCATAACCCTTGATTTCATTGTTCGATTACTTCTCGCTAATTATATGTGTCCTCACAAACATGTAAATCAGTAAATGCTCTTGGATGTGAAGTAAAGGTTTGTAGATTTTCTAGGTCTATTTGGAATCATGAGCTTAGTTCTTTCAATCACAATCTGTTTAGCAGTGTAATGGGTTTTTTCGATGACTGCCTTTAGTTTCTGCCTTAGATTCACTTCTAAATGGTAGAGAGATAAAAACAGTTGAATGATTTTTTCACCTATTTATGAATTTTAGTGGATAACTATTTGATATCAGTGTCAGTCAGTAGTTTTGCATCTTCTTTAACGGTATCTGTGGTGTATATTCTTTAAATCCTATTAAAGAGACCCTTGATCAAGCCTCGCTTGAGTTGCAATGTACAGAAACCGAAAA